AAACAACAATCAACAAGAATCAAGAGAGAATCAAAGAGAAAGCATCAAACCTCAAGTTTGAGCATTTTCAAGCCTATTTCATTCAATATTCATTTTTGCTTTCAAGAACACTTATTGTGTTCAATTGTATTATTCTTGAGTGTTCTTTATTTGTTCTAGAATTGTGCAAACATCTTGCCTTGTGAGGATTTTCTTATAAGTTTGCAAAATTTGTATTGTTCTCTTTGGGAGAGAGTGTTCTCAAGAATTTGGGGTATAATTCTTGAGGGAGTTGTAAGGTTACTCTTTGTCCTCAAAAGAAAGAAAAATTAGTGAATTTGTGGAAAATCCTTAGTGTGGATAGCTAAGGTAGTGGGCGTAGAATTTGGTTGAGAAAGTCGAACCACTCTAAATCGCTATGCAAATATTTTCAATTTTCTGCAAAAGCTTCCACCAAAATTTTTATTGCCAATTCACCCCTTCTTGGCCTATTTCGTCGATCGATTAACTCAACAACTTTGAACAATTAGTTTACCATGAAGGATTTGGGCTTGGCAAAACAAATCTTTGGAATTAATATCATTAAAGATCGGTTTAAGAAGTTTTTATGATTATCCCGAGAACAATACATTGAGAAAATTCTTCGAAGATTCAATATGCACGAGTCCAATCCAGTTAGTGTACCACTTGCTAGACATTTCAAGTTAAGCAAAAGGCAAAGTCTAACAAGTGATAAAGAGAAAAAAAAATGAAAGATGTTCCATATTCACCTACAGTTGGAAGTCTCATGTATGTCATGATTTTTAAAATACATGACATAGCCTATGTTGTAGGAATTGTGAGTCGATTCCTATTTAATCCAGGTAAAATACATTGGGAGGTTGTGAAATAGATTTTTCGATACTTTGTGCCACATCAAATATATGTTTGTGTTTTGGAAAAGGAAAGCTAAAGTTGATAGGAATACGATTCAAATATGGCTAGAGATACTGATTTGAGAAAGTCTATATCTGAACATGTGACTAATTTTTTAAGGGGGGGCTATTTTTTTGGGAATCGAAGCTAAAAAAATGCATGGCATTATCAACAACAGAAGCAGTGAACATCGCAGCGATTAAGGCTTGCAAAGAAATGTTATAAATAAAAAATTTTCTGCAAGAATTGGATCACAAGCAAGAGAAATATATCCTCAAATGTGATAATCAAAGCGCTATTCATTTAACAAAAAATTATGCATATCATTATAGGACAAAACACATTGATGTTTGTTATCATTGGATACGAGATGTGTTAGAAGAAAAACAACATGAAATAGATAAAGTTCATGCTAATTATAATTGGTCTGATATGATGACAAATGTGATTCCGACCAAGAAGTTCGAAGATTGTTGTCAAGGACTAAGTTTGTTTGTTTCCTCTAATTAAGCTAGGAAAGGGGAGATTTGTTGGGTGGATCCTTCCTTAATTGATCTTAGGGAGATGTATCACATGCCTTAGGGAGATGAATCATCCATATTCATGTAAGTTAACATTTCAAAGGTTCATCCATTTATGCTTGATTGATCTAGAAGTAATGAATAAGTCATATGCTTACCAAATTACTCTACTATAAATAAGGGGTTTTGGGAAGGATAGCATATAACAAGTGAAAACAAGAGAGAATGAATTGTAAAAAAAACGCATTCACAAGAGAATTCCTCCAAGAGAAGAAGAAAGATAGAGTGAACTACCTTTGAGTGAGTATTTTTGTAAACAATCCTTATTGGGTGAGACATTTTGTATCCCTACTCATATAATAGTGGAAGGTAAGTTTACACTGGACTAGCGTCCAGCGATTTTCCTGATTTGGGTTTTTCGTGTAATCAAATTATCATGTCTTGTTGTTTTTATATTTGTACCCATATTAATCACACAAAGAGGAAAAGAGCTATCCTCATACGTGCCCATCTTTTCCCAACAGTATTCTATTAAACTTTGTAAGTTCAATATTTCATCCGTTGTAGGTTGCAGGTTTCAAAGATAACGATAAAACAATGATATTTGCTTTGTATACACCCAATTCTCTCATAACAACAAATAAATTGACATAGAAGTGTGAATCATAAAATGCTTATGTTAATATGGTGCAAAGAGATGCATTATCAACCAAACGGATTGCACACAAAGATACAAGTAATCAAGTATTCCAGGCAATACACCTTGAAGGCACTCAGTTTATCAAACCATAAAAAGAACACAAGAAAATATGTGATATTACAAGCAATGAAGCAGAAAATGTGCTATTTCCGTGATGCCTCACCATTGGTTTTGACACTTTAACACTCTTTTCTTTATCAAGGTAAACAACAGATGCACAATCAACATGAAGTGCCTAAGAGTATATGATCAGATGATGGCCTGCAAGAACTTGCACAATTCCATTTCTTGAAAAATATGGTCTTCAGAACGGAACCTTCCTTTCCAACTCCCTATTTCTAGTATGATGCTGATAACCCTTGGGAAGATCCATTCTAAACCAGAAAAAGTTCATCTCAGGCAACAAATATAGGGTTTAGATGCAGCATAGTAAAGACTGTTTCCGATTCCTTTGCAGAATTAAAGCTCACAAGGGACAAATCATATCCCTGATTACCAAAATGAAGTGCAGCACATCTCCTGTAAAACAAGTGAATGTTGAACTTTATTCCCACAGGAAACCAACAAATTGTAGTATATGCCTCAAAGCCATTGGCAAGAAAACATGTATTTCTCTTGCTTAGCAGTCCATCATCTACTATGAGAAAGAATAGGCCCATTAAAGAAGAATTCCCAACACCATGTGAAGGAAATTAAAGGCTTACGTATTTTTACATTTGTTTCTGAATAGTATAACACGAAAAAGATTTATTCCTAAAATGTCGTGTTCTTGGCTCCCAAATAAAATAAAATAGAGATGAGCCAAGTGTTTCGTATAGACTAAAAGTTTATTACATATCAGAAAAGGATTTGCAAGAGACTTGCGATTCAGACCCCTATAAACAACCCAAAATAACCTCTTACACGACCTGGATGATCAGACGGATTGAGGATATCACAAATTGATACCGAAAACAGTTGCAACTTCAATTGAAAAAAAAAAACTCAAACAAGGATCAATTTTCAATTATTATAAACCTTTAAGGGTATATGAGATTTTCTAAACCAATATTTAGCATTTACAACATTCCTTGACAAAATAAAGTCAGAGGTATTGATACTTTAATGTTTAGCGTCAATACTAAGTTATTAGTATTGGTATTGATACACAATATCGATTGATTAGATAAAACAAAAATTTAGGTTAAAATTTAAAATGATTAAAAAATTCAAATCTAATAATTTTTTATTGGACTTAACTTTATAGTATTATTTTTCAAAAATTTAGATTTGGAATGAGTATGTCATTGTGCATTTGGTGATCTTGAATGGGATATATGAATTATGTAATTGTACATTTGGTGATCTTGAAATGACGATGCAATTGAACATATAGATAAGTTTGAGTTAAATAGAACAAATGTAAGCCCATATACCCGATCCATCACTCCCGAATAATTCAAAAGCTTCCTTAATTTCTTGCTTCTTCCGTTGGCTTAATCCATGGCTATGCTTGTCTTTCCCGGAAGAAGCCACTTATATTTGCAAACTCAGTCAGCCACAATTATTATAAGACCAAGTACATGGATTACGATATCTATGTATTGAATCATATCCATAGTGGTTTCAATTTCCTGAGACATTTAATCCAAACTAAACTACCAAAAGGTTGGATTCTTTTCAAATTAGCAAAGTTTAAAAAATATTATCGCCTATAAATAAATTTTACCGAGGGCTAACGTGAGATCGGAACTCGATAAACATTTTGATTGTGATTTGATCCATGATATTTGAAATAAAAAATTCTTTACAGGTATTTTGTTCATAGAAAAAAATATTATTAAAGGGAATAATCCTTTTCAGAAAAACATTTTTCGTGTTTGGTTTACAAAAAAAATTATTATCGGGAATAATCTTCCAATAGTAGCATTTTTTTGTTAAAATGATGGGATCATTACCTCCAAATTAATAGATATTAAACAATTTTAATCACTTTGAACAAGAATATTCCTAGACTAATGAATTATGTTTATAATGATCTTTCTCAAATCTTTTTTAAACATAATACTAGTAATATACAAACAAATAATTTAATAAAATAATAATAAATTTGAGTATTTAATTTTTTTATATTTTTAATAATCAACATATTAATTATTTTTAATTTTATAAGATGAAAAATAATATTATTGTAAACATATAATTATTTAAAATAATATCTAACTTTAAGTTATTAAAAAAAAGATCTCATAAATTGAAAAATAATATCTTTATCCACTCGAGATCATAATATTTTTTTCATATTATATTATATTTGATATAAATTAATATGATACTTATAAAAATTATTTAAAAATATAATTTTAATATATTAATCATATATTAAATGTATTTTTTCTCAAAGGTTAAATAATATAACGATTAAAATATTTTTTTAAATCTTCATTCAAATATTTATAATTTAATATTAAAGTTTATTTTCAAAAAAAATATTACAAAGATAATTTAATAAAATATACATTCAAGTAAATATACATTTTTAATCAAAATATTACAATTTTACATATTTACTAAACAAATCAAATAAAATAATACAAAATCTTTGTAGTGATACTACATTCTGATAATATTATTTTCATAAATAATCTTATCTTGCATGAACCAGTCGCCCTCTTAACTTTACTTTCATACAAGTCGTCCTCATTATTTTGTATTTTCTATAAAAATAAGCGAACGTTCACTGTCTAAATGATCAATTGTAAGAAAATTAGCCCCAATTCCATAAATAAATAATATCTCGAAGAAAAAAAACTACGATTTATGAAAACACTAAAAGCGAAGTTGAAGGAGCATTTGCAACCCACAGTTGCCGACTATTTGACCCGCCTTACCTTGTAAAAAGATACTACAAATTACATATCTTATTTATTTATAAAATTACTTACTTCCAAAAATTATAAAATAAAAACCTTATAATACCATCGATTTTGACCAATTGGTTCAGTTGCAAACCTTGCCGCTTTTAATCACCATAGCCACGTGGTCAAAAGTGAGAGCCTTCGTCTCTTTTGCGTGTGGTCCACCGTACATGATTTTCCCCTCGCGTGCCCGCTTCTTTCCCGTCCTTTTCAACCATACCCCAAACAGTTTCAAATTTCCGTTTCCTTCTTCGCCATCGCCGTTTGCGTCAGCGACATTGTTATCGTCGCCGTAGCAATTGCCACCACCAGCACCTTCATCATGGGTAGACCCGAAACTTTCTTGCCGCATGATGCGATTGATCTGATCCGGCCCTACCTTCACGCGTTCAGTTAGAAACGCGACCAGCTCGTCGCACTGCTTCTTGGCTTGCGCCAGCTCTGAGCTCAGCATCTCGTTATCCTTTTTCAGTTTCTCGTTCTCGTCTGATAAATCGGCGAATCCAGTCATGGCTGCCGGCTTCGTTTCCACTGATCTCGGATTCTTTGAACCCGGTGATGTCGACGTGGAGGTGGACCCTAGATCCTGACCAGAGTCAGTCGGAGAGGAAGGTGTCGTATCAGTTGGGTTTCCGTTAGCCGTCGATGTTATCGCCGACTTCCGACGATGGATTTCCGACAAGAGCTCTTTTTGTCCTCGCTTGAAGTTGTCGTTGGCGAATTCCCATTTGTCTGGAACAACCTTTCGAAATCCCTGTAATAAAACGGTAGATTCATTCATTTTCACATCCGTATCCGTAGAATTACTGAAACAGGGGAAAGACGATCGTAACCCTCACTAATATTTGTAACAATTCGTAAACCTTTTTTTTTGAGAAAAAAAATAATAAAATCAGAGTTGTTGAAGGATTAATTAATAGATAAAGTAAATAAAAGTTATTAAATTATATTAAACTAATATTTTAGTTATTAATTTTAAAAAATTATTAGATTTATATTACAAAATAATTATTGTGATATAATAATAATATGTTAATAAAATTTATTATTTATGATTTAACAGTAATTTAATAATTTTAATAAAATTAAATACTAATATCGTTATTTAAATATGATGTGTAATCATTTCTAATATTAGTTCACCTGTCCCATCATAACGAAACCTACTATTCAATCTCTAATTAATTTTTTAAGTCAAACCAGTAAAATTTACTTTTTTTTAATAGAAAATTGTAGGAAAGCACCCATCTTTTTCCTAAAAGTTGCAAGGAAACGGTTTAGCATTTAATAAAATTAATTAATTGAGGAAATAATACAATTATGGCGTATGTGATCTAGATGTAGAGTAATTGAGAATATGAAAAGCTTACGTAAGTGTTGAGCTGACGGACGAAGCTGGAAAAGTTGTTGTGCTTGAAATATTTCGGAAGCAAATCCTTTGAAAAATCAGCAGTTTTCCAAACGACAAAAGACGTGCCGCTTTCATTCCACGAAATCACATGATCGGTGATCGGATCATCCACCAGCTGGTACGTTTTGATCAAGAAAGGCGCCGGAACTGACCTTTGCGCCATTTGTTCCGACTTTCCGATTGGCCAAACCCCTCCCAAAGTATAAAAAGTAAAACCCAAAAAGAAGTCTAACAAAGAATTATGAATACAAGAACAAGAAAAAAGAAGGTGGCGGGTGATTTAGGCAGAACAACTAAAGAGAAGAAGAGCGGTCAAGAACTCCCAACCCCAGCAATAGAACCCGGAGAGAAAGAATCGAGAGTAAACGAGGTTGTCACAGCGTCTGTTGGTATCAATTTCCATTAGTTAACTGCAACACTAAACAAGATCATAACTTTGATGGTGAGAAAAAAAAAACAGAAACTTTGGATTCTAAATCTCTTTTGCAGATTTTTGTAGGTGGGTTGTTTATAAAGGGAGGCAGACGCCATTCAAAATAATAATAATAATAAAAAAGCCGCTTGTTTCTCCACTGAGAAAGGATAAGAAGATGCATTATTTAATCGTTGATGAGGAGAAAGTGTAGACTTTTCTAACGGGGGGGACTTCTTTGTTTGTCTTGGTGGGTTCTTGAACGAAGCTTCCAACACATTTTGAGCAAGTAGAGTGCGGGATTTTTCACACGGAACGCGTTCGGAACACGTGCCTGTCACCGTTTTTGTTCAAGAAGCTCCCCCCTCACTTAACTCCCTGCATGTATATATTTCTCATTGCTTCTAATTAATCGTTATTATTATTACCATCACTCTTACGATTTTCCTTTTATTCATATTAAATCTGCAGTTCAATTCAATTTAGTTTTTAAATATTATTCATATTAGTTTTAAATTTTGATTACATTTTTATATTTAAAATTATGTTTTCAATCATTTTAAGTATATAATACTATGAGACTATTTTTATTATTATTAAAAATAAAATATACATTTTAAAGAAAATTATATTTTGACGTAAAACAATATAAGAATATTCTATCATAAAAAAATTAAGAAATTAAGTTCAATGGTAAAACTAAAAGAATAACAATTTTAAGATTAAACCGACAAAAACTGTTTAAAGATCAAATAAAAAAAGTTATTAAATTTAGGGAGTGTGTTTATTTTTCTTTTAAATCATTCAAAACTTTAAGAAAAATTTAAGTTGTGTTGTTCATGAGGCATCGTCGTCTAGTACAGAGTCTAAGTGCCTTTATCCACTGACAAAATTTATGAATTTATATTATGTGAGATTTGAACTCATATCCTAATGCATATAGAATATATACGAGAAGTATGATATTGTTTGAGAAAATAATATTGAACAAAATTTAGAGGTTTGCAGAGGTTTGAGAAATTAGTATTGAACTCATATCTTAATCACATTTCAAGGAAGGTCTTTTTTCCCTAATCAATTCAAAGTCCCGGCCTACCCTAGACCATGATAATTTGTATAATAAAGCAACTTTTTAAAATCAAAATTGAATTATAATATTAATCTATTTGGGTTGCTTGACCCGACCCTATCAGCCAAGCCCCGTTCGTGTTCACTTTCAACCAACCTGCACTAGGCAGAGACCATATGAATCCTGCAATTCTCGCTTGAGGCCGAATAGACTGATGATCAGACCGAAGAATCCAGGCTCGAGCAAACGAGTCAACCAACTACCTACTCCTCTCCATAATAGACCTGATAATCCAACAAAGTAGACTCAAAAGTGATGGAATTCTGATTGAGCCATATGTTCCAAATGATGAAACCAAATAGGATATCCCAATTTTCGATTCGGCTGACATACTGATGAGCCTGACCAAGATTCGTAATCACTCAATCTGTAAAATCCATAGAAAGAAACTCTTGTAATTTATCATGCTTAACACATGAAACACAGGAAACAAGAGTTATGAGGCACAGCTTGAAAACATGATTAGTGTCCTCCACCGGCGCCCTTCACAATATCCATGGTAAGTTGCCTTCGCATACGCTTCGCATTAGTCCAAATCCTATCCTGACACACAATCTATAAAAAATAATTTGATTTTTTGAGGTTCCTGAAACTAATTTATAGTGGACCAAATAGTGTTCCCATTCATATAAAGTTGTTCATCACAATACTCATAAGCCGACTTCATTGTGAAACGACAGTCTTCTCTAAGGCTCCACCCCACCATATCGTTAGTAAACTGGGCTTTTGGTCCCTTCTTCGCTTTAATTTTTTAACAAAATATTCAAAGGAAGGAGATGATTGAATAGATGCCAGCGTCAGTTCCCATTCTCATATGCCACATTCGCTACCGTAACCTGATTCATTCTAATAGCAGCCTTAGTCGATTCAGATCACTGATGTTGGTGAACCGCTGTATAACCTCTTTCCCTTTAAACCGTTGATCATCAATCAAGACTTTAGTCTTGTTTTTATCACTGGCCTTACTTTGCCGCATTTTATCTTCTTCCTCATGGTCTATCAACACCGAGAATCTAGATTTTCCACCCCCTCGAGATGTACCTTCAGCAAATTGTCCCTCCTTTGATGTGTTCTTAGGTTTACGTTTCGGTTTAGCAACCACCATCCAAGGACCATACAAATCCTCCCCATTAGAATCCAATCTCCACAAAAGAAGCAAATGTTGTTCAAACCTTCATATTCGAGTTTTTGAACAAAACCGTTAATCCCAATACAAGATTTGAGATGCTTGTTGAGATCCACGATTATAGAAAGCTGGGCAAACTTCCCTCTACCACCTGCCTGAGTATTATAATCCACACGCACCACCTTTCCCACAGTTGCAGCAATTCTATGAAATATCAAATAATGCCTTGGAGTAATACTGATACGGTAGGCCCGATTGTCTTACCCATACCAGAACTTGAGTTGGGTGTTCTCCGATGTAGAAAAGAACCGACTCCAAAGCTGAACCGTTAAGTAACTACCATAAATCGTATGGGGACCTTCCGTAAGAGCTTTGACGTAATCCTCATGCTTGGAAAATTTCACAATAAAATAATTATTGTCTAGATTAACCAATTGGATATCTCCTAGTGGCTTCCATATCATCATGATCCTATTCAGTAAGATTGTATAACCAATATTTCTGTCTAATAAACAAATATAAGTACCTGGGTCATACTTTGATCGGTCTAATCATGCACTCGATCAGAGAATTTGATCGTTATTATTGGGCCAGTATCATCCACGATACAATCCTCATCCAACACTTCAATCTCATCCATTGCAACCAGAGATGATGCCACCTTATCTCCTGCAGTGTCGCTTGCCACCATATGAGCATACGAAGATTTCGATGCATCCATCTCCTTCTGATGATTATGACTCATACCCGTTAGACTGGAGTTGGCCGAATCAAAACTTTCACCGCCTTCAGCCTCCATATCGATTGCTTCCTCCCAAAGCAAAATTCAACCTCATTAGTGATCTAGTTGCGTTGTTTCATTAAATCACGATTCGCCTCTAATGGTGATCTCGACCTCTCCAGGATCGGATGAATTGATAACTCAGTAAATCCCTCCGGCGGCCGGCCGTTGTGAACGAAGATCTATTCGGAAACTGTAGAACGTTAGGGTTAGTCATGGCAGTAAAACTTTAATATTTTATTAGTCAAACGTTTATATGAATTGAAAATTTTTAAACATCTATTCTAAAAATTATTAGCAAAATATAACAAATCGATACATTTAATGGGATTTTATCAGGAGGTTAAAATCTTATAACTTATTTGAAATATGTTTAATCTCATCATTCATATTCATACGTAGAATATACAAATAAATTATATTTTAAAAAAATGAATGCCATTATTTGACAAAAAACAGAGGACAATAATTTTGCAATTTGAGAAAAGAGTAACATTCTCATTCCTCATTGGTTGGTTTAGTAGGCGGTAAACCACCTGGATTAGCTTAAGTTAGGTAATTCAGAGACCAAATGTTATACATTTTCCTCTCCTTGAGACAATCTGTCGTTTCCAAAACACTAGCGTTTATAAAATACTTTTATAAATTAAGGGTAAACTAAATGTTTAATATCTAATATTTATTTTCATCTGTTTTAGTATTTAAAATTTCAAAAAAAATAAGACTCAACATTAAGTTTTTAATAAGATATTAATATGAAATGAAATTTAAATATTATGTATAGTTAAAAAAAAGATAAAAGCTTAAATATTAAAACATATCAAAATTGATAATTTAAATACAAAACACATAATTTATCTTAAATTCAATAATTTTGGGGCTAAATTAAAAACAGTGAGTATATATAGGATAAGAAGGATGTGACCGAGCCTTATTTCCTGATTGTTTACAATGTGCATATATAACTTTTGAAATCTTTCCCAAATTCAAGGAATGTAAAATTTATTTTAAAAAAAAACATTGTGTGTGTATATAATTTCGTGTTTCTTACCCATAATAGAAGATGTAATTATTACAACTCCTAATCTTTAGTGTTGGATAGCGTAAAGCGGAGGATAAAGTTTCCTCTGGAAATAACGTGATGGCACAGATGTTGGAATTTAATCGAAAACCATTTTGACTTTCTCTTTCACTATATTTCTTTTGTCAAACTTCGACTAATATACCGAAAATATGTAATCAAATCAAAATTAATTTATTTTTTTAAAAAAAGTTAAATTGAATTAAATATTATAATACAAATAAATCAAATTACATAGGGTTGTAAATACCACTTTAGTCTCAAAATAAAATACCAAAATTTTTAGTTTCTCAAAAAACAAATCTTAAAATAAATTTTCAAAAAACTCTAAATTCTTAATATTCTTTTACCGATCAGAGTTTTAAGCGACATAATTCACAGTTTAAGTGAGACGACGATAGAACAATGAATGATAAATCAAGGTTTTAGGTTACATGCAATGATAAAGGGTGAGATCGACGATGAAAGAGTGGATGGTAATGGTTAATTCAATAATAGTTGATGAAATTTTAGAATTTAGAAATAGAGATTTTAAAATTTTTGGAGATTTGAAAATTTAGAAACTTTAGGAGTTTTTCTAAAATTAAATATTTTCGTTTTTATATAAATAAAATTAAAATGAAGTTATTATTATATATTCATTGTATGACAAACTTTTTACATGCCTGAACAATTTATTCTCAAAATAAAAGTATAATAAAATGTTGAATATTTATTTTAAAAAATATCTAAAATAAAAATATATAATTTTTAATTAATTGTTGAACAATTAAGTTATCCTTTCTCCATGTTATAATTTCAATTAAATATTCTATGTTTGACATAATAAAATCATATGTACCTCTCACTTTTCAAGATTTTGTCTTGATTAATTTAGGCTGATTCATATTGTACACTTGGTTTTGATAGATAAATCTCTCAGTAAAAAATGTTGCATATACAAAACTTCAAATTTGAGACTTACTTAAGTAATACTAAACTGCTTATCAGTT